AGGGAGCCCGATGCGGGGCTCGATCCCAGGACCCTGGGATCATGACCTGAGCTGAAGGCAGATGCTTAACCCACTGAGCCACCCAAGCGCCCCAGTATTTACTCTTCTTAATGAGTGCTTCCTCTGTCCCAGTACCCAGTGAGCAGTCTTACAGTACCCATTTCATAGATGATGGCAGCACAGGCTTAAAGAGGTTACAGCTTGGAAAGTAAAGGCCATGTTCTTTATTACCTTTATTACCACATGCCTGTGCCGTCTCTCCAACTTCTTCATGCATTTTTTTTGCCCAACATGTCTCTATGAAAACTTGTCAAACCTACAGAAAAGTGCAATGGATTTTATCGTTAACACCAACATACTTTCAGCCCAAGATTCCGCCGTTAACATTTTACCCCCACATATCTACCCCCTTACCATCCGTGTTATTTGTTGGTGCAGGTCGAAGTAAGCGGTAGACCTCTGTACATTTCACGCCTTAACTAGAGTGGAATGCACTCCAGGGTACCATTTAATGAGTTTTGACAGGTGCGCACACCGGTGTCGCCCCTGTCAAGATTCAGAACATGAACAGCGTTCGGTAAAGTTCCCTCCTGTCCCATCCCAGTCATCCTCAGTTCTGAGACATGCCCACAGGGGCTGTGATGAGGCTATGGGGACCTCTTGGTATCTGCCAGTAGCTCTTTTCATATTGGTCGTACCTGCTTCTCCCTCTCTACCTCTTGCAGGAGCCTTGAACATGGATAGTCCATGGCTGATGGTCTCCGTGGCTCACAGGCTGGACTGGTCACGCCGACCCATGTTCCAGGCTGTCCTGGAGCTGACACTGGGCAAGGCCTGGACCCTCAAGAACCTGGTGATGAACGTGGCCTACAGGAAACAGGGCCTTGACAGGGAGGGCAAGATCCACATCTACACCCCGGCTACCACTTACCTCCGGGTGCGCATGCTCGGTTACGTCCTCTGCTTCCCTCCCTGCCATTGGACTCACGGCCCAGGAACCTGGTTCCCTGCCATTCAGAACTTCTTGCATGCAGAGGGAGAACAGCACCCAGGCCTGATACCAGGTCACAGATGTGGGCAGTTTGGATGGCCCAGCATTTATAGTCTTCAGAATTAGTTGCCAAGTGAATTTGGGAGAGTGGACCGCCCCACCCCCTCCATCTCAGTTTCCCGTAGTCTTGCTTAGCCGCTGATAGGTTAAAACATGAAAGCAGGTTGAAGGGGTACTCGGAAACAAGTAGACATCAGGCCTTTGCCAAAAACCAGAATGAAAACTTCAAGGTCGTAGGTCCATTTCATACCAGCTGCTGTGTGTAATTGAGTATGCTTCTTTGCACCCGTTTGATCTCTGAAGCCTAACAGTTGGGAAGAAAACCAACCTGTGAAAGATGCCCCAGGTGTCCCCCGAGGGAGCCTGGCACATAGCCTCTTCCCGTGTTAGGATGACAAGTGGGACACAGCAGGAGGTCCGGGCCTGACTTGGACCCAGAAAGAGGCAGCTCTGTGGGCCCACCTCGGGACAGCAGAGTCCCTCTGAGGCAGGGGCTGAGTGGTAGCAGGGTGGGGTCAGCCAACCAGCTCCTGCAGACACCCCAGCCAGGGGCCCGACAGTGGCCTGTCCCGGGCGGGGCGGGGGGGCGGGGTGTTTGGCAGGAGAGATGGTAGCAGGTGTAGTGGGTGTCTAGATTCTGGAACTAGTTTGCAGGTGGAACCGATAGATTTGCTGACAGATTTGCTGGTGGATGGGCAGTGGGAGGGAGCGCAAGACAAGACCTGAATGGCCCCAAGGTTTTGGCCCAAACAGCTGGGTAGGAGGAGGGGCCCTTCCCTGAAACGGTAAGCTGGCGATGGGGGTCCTGTAGGTTCTGGGGGGAGACCCAAGGTCAGTGACCTATGGGACGAGGTGTTATGGAGTTCTAGTATGTGGCAGGGGCCTCAGTCATGCCTAAACCCCATTTTGACCCCATCACCTCCGCTTGGGAGGCCCTGAGCCGTGGGAACAGGGGGCGTGGCCTAGGGGTACGGCACCGTGCTATTCCTGACGGGGCTTGTGCCAGGGGCAGTGGGCTGGGGTGCACAGCCCTGCACAGAGCTGTGGTGCTCTACCTCCCCGGTTCCTTTGCCGCCCCAGGTCCCCGATCACTCCTCGGCGGGGGCTTCAGGTCCCTGTTCGGGCACCACTTGTCGACCTCAGAGACTCCCCCAGCTCTTCCCAGGGCTCTGAAGACCATAGCAATGGTGCAGGAAGAGAAGGCCACCTGTGGGTGCATGCCCCTCGGGACACGGAGACCCTGCCTGCTAATAATAGTGGCCCAGTGAGATCATTACTCCCTTTCCGAGCCGAAGAGGAGAGAGGGGGAAGGGAGTTATCTTCTCTCATAACCGATACTTCAGATTCCCTCTCTGCTCAGGGCTGAGGGATGGAGGGAAGTTTGTCCTCTTTCCTCAAGACCCTGTAGGGAACAGCAATTTCTGCCTGGACCCGTCGGGAAAGGCCTCACAGAGATGGTGTCGGAGGGGTTTTGAAGGATGAGTAGGAGTTCCCCAAGGGGGAATGGGGAGAAAGGGCATCCCAGGGGGAGGGCATAGGGTGTGCAAAGGCTTTGGTCGCCCTCCCCTGCCTCGCCGTAGGTATCCACGGTGACAACGTTGGCCCAGAGCCTCTTCCGCAGCCGGAGTGAAGTAGAATCAGCCTGGAGTGCTGCAGTGTGGAGCGAGATCCATGCAGAGAACAGCCAGGACCTTAAGATACTTCACTGCTGGTTGAAGGGCCCCCTGCAGGAGATGAACCTAACGGCCGCCTACAGGCACATGGAGCAGGTGGGTCCAGGCGGCCCATGCTGGAGGCTCTGCTGTTGAGAGACCCCCAAATCCCTCACCTGGGTTGGGAAAGCATTTAGTGCTCAGCCTATGACCTTGGGCCTTCCTGAGCTTAGTTTCTTTATCTGTAAAATGGGCCCCAGCCGTATTAGCGCAGACCCTGGAGCAAAGCTCCGCCTCATGGAGCCAGAAGCCCGAGACCATTCCCCACTGGGCACCTGGGGAGGTCCAGGCATGGCGGTGCGCCCATGCGATCTTGGAGTCTGCTCTGGGGTGAGGCTGCGGTCCTGTTCAACAACCCCTTCTCAGGTGGTCACTCCCGAGGTGATGGGCGGGCAGGGGGAGCTGCCCCTTGGACCCCCGGGCACCATGTTTAAGGAGCCAGGCCCCCGCTGGGGCATCCCTCTCCATCAGTCCGGTCCTTGTTACAGCCCCAGAAGACCCACGTGTCGCTGACGGCCCTGGTGACCAGCACCAGGGGCCAGCCTCGGGGCCTGGAGTTGGAGGGCAAGCTGGAGGAGGTGATGCGGGACAGGAGCTGGTACCAGAAGCGGGGGACCTTCCTCCTCAGGTCCGTGCGGCCCCTTCCCCTTATGTGCAGCATCTGCCAGGAGGGTCTGCAGCATGGAGGGTCCTGGGGGGGCAGGGTAAGCTGTGCTACCTGGGAGGCCCACGCTGCTCCACGGGGCCCAGGCGGAGCCCAGAGCTCAGAGACAATCCGCCTGCCTCCCTCAGAAGTCCCTGCACAGCTAGCCCCCTTCCATGAGGATGCTAAGAAATCTGGGAGCAGAGGTCTGTCCTCACCCCAGCCTGAAAGCTGCTCTGGGGAATCTTTCTAGTTCCTAGAGGCACAGCTGGTTGGAAAGGTTGTTCTTGTGGTCTGGGGGTGTAAGGGGGTGGGTGGGTGGAGGAATCAGCAGACCTAGCCTCAGCTCCAGCCTGTGTCCAGACCAGCTGCCTGGCCTTAGTCATCTTCTATAAAAACAGCAATAACCACGACGTAACAGGGGCTGTTATCTGCACAGACCTCGTTCCTTCGTTCATTTCATTTATGTTCATTGAGCACCTCCTATGTGCCGTGATGCACTTTTCTGGGAAAACAGGGAATAAAAAGGACAGAACTCCTGCCCTCAGGGAGCTTGCATTCACTGCACAGACATTATCTCCTATGATCCCAACCGTGGTTGGGATTGGGGTCGGGGGCTAGTATTTGAGCCCCCATTTCCCAGATGGGAAAACTGAGGCACAGAGAAGTCAGTGCCCAAGGCAACAGACCCCAGCTGCTGCCTGTCCTTGGGTCTCTGTTGCCAGGGGCTGGTGATGACCCCCGCCGTGCCCAGGTCACTGGGTTTTCACGAGGGCATGGCGACATGGTGAATGGACGTAGATTGGCGAGACGCAGGGCTGATGTGTGTCCTGATGTTCTCCTCCCTGTGACGGTCTTAACCCTGCAAGCTTGTGACAGGCCCAGTCTGAGCTCCTGGGGCCCAGTTGTCCCCTGACCCTGCCAGAAGCTTTAATGCCTTTGGCCCACTTTCCCCTCTCCATGCCAGGCACACCTTGCCTCTGCCCATCCCGCAGAGCCTCCTCCTGCAGGAGAGCTTCACAGCGGATAGGCAACACCAGCGATGCTCCCTGGAAACTAGGCTCGTCCTGAACGGCCAAGAGGAGACCCTGCAGACCGTAGTCCTGGGCTACCAGGCCGGACACCCCTACGTGAGTGGGCTCCGGGGCGCAGCTGGGGAGGGGCCTGGGAGCAGGGGGAGGCCCCCGTCTGCCGCTGACCCATCTCTGTATGTGTGTGCGCGTGTGTGCCCTTCCCTCCCAGGTCTGCGCAGGCCTGACCCACCCATACGACGGCAAGGCCATCCCCAGGAACGTGGAGGGGTGCGCCGTTGCTTGGAGCCAGCACGCCGTAAGTGAGCAGAGCCCGGGGACTGGGCACCCCAGTGGTCCCCGATCCAAGCTGCCATCTCCTCTGAACTGGACGAGCAGAATGCTCTCTGGCCTGGGTTTTCTGTTCCACTCTGTCCCCACTGTTCTAGCCTACCTGACGGCTAGAGGGGGCTTTCCAGTATGCCGGCAGAATCATGCCACTCCTTCTCTCTGGATGAAGACCCTGGCCGTGCCCCTCTGGTCTTACTGACCCTGCAGGCCACCTGAGACCACTCTGTCCCTTCTGCTGCCACCTTTCACTCAGCCTCCTTTTGGTTCCTCACCCAGCTCTTTCCTGCCCCAGGACCTTTGTGTGTTCTGTGCCCGGAGCTGTCCCTCCTTCAGCTTTGCCTCCTTCCCTTGTACTCACTGCTGAGGGTTCAGCTCACGCGTCCTCTCTTCCAGGAAGCTTTTCGTGGCCCCCAGACCACCTCCCATCCCCTGGTTACGTGTCCTGCACACCCCACACTTCTGTTTCTAGCACTTCCCGCAAATCTCAGTCCTATTTTGACGTGATTCTCTGACCAATCACTGTTCCCCCTGCTAGTCCATAAGATCCGTGATTGATACTGTGTCTGCATACCTCACGTCATGGCACTTTATTTCATTACACTTTGCAGATATTGCATTTTTTTTAATACAAATTGAAGGCTTGTGGCAACCCTGCATCCAGCAAGGCTGTTGGTACCATTTTTCCAACAGCATTTGCTCACTCTGTCTCCGTGTTCCATTTTGGTGACTTGGGCAATATTTCACTTTTTCATTATTATCCCATTGGTTATGGTGATCTGTGATTACAACTGGCTGAAAGCTCAGACGACGGTTAGCATTTTTTTGCAATGAGGATTCTTTAGATGAAGGTATGTACTTCTTTTCTTCAGTCGTAATGCTACTGCTTTGACGACAGTGTAAACATAACTGGTATGCGCACTGGGAAAGCAAGAATTCCATCTGACTCGCTTGTTGCCAGACTTGCTCACTGGTTTCCGGGGCGGTCTGGAACCGAACCCGTGATATCTCCAAGGTACGCCTCTGTTTACCATCGGAGCTGCAGGGCCTGGCGCATCATCATCCGCGCTCATTGAATCGTTGTCACCCCCGAGTTATTGAGAGTCTGTTGTGCACCTGACCCAGAGCAACAGGCGACAACCTTTTTCCGAGAAGGAGCAGATAGTAACGATTTTTGCCTCTGGGGGCCATGAGGTCTCTGTTGCAAGTACTCATCCGTGCCTTGGTAGCACAGACGCATTCTAGAAAACACACGTGAATGGGCCTGACTGTCTTCTGATAAAACTTTAGCTAAGGACTGAATGCTTGTGTGCCCCCACCGCCGCTGCCAGATTCATATGTTGAAGCCCAATGTGAAGGTATAGGGAGGCAGGGTCTCTGGGAGGTGGTTAGGTCATGAGGCTGGAGCCCCCACGATGAGATTTCTGTCCACCTGGCGAGGGCGCAGGAAGGAGAGAGCCGCCTGCCAGCCAGGAAGAGGGCCTTCTCCAGAACCCAACCATGCTGGCACCCTGGTCTCGGACTTCCAGCCTCCAGAACCATGAGGAATAAATTTCGGTTGTTTAAACCACTCCGTTTATGAGACTTCTGCGAGAGCAGCCCGAACTGCAACTTTATTTACAAACACGAGGCAGGTCTGGCTCCCTGGCCGCAGCTCTCGGACCCCTGGCTTAGAAGGTGTTGGCATTAGTCTTCCTGCGACTGAAATTCATTTTTGCCCACATGCCCATAGTGAATGATTCCACAGCTCTGGGCCCCCGTTTCCTCGTCTATAAAATAGAGACAACAGTACCCATCTCTTAGGCCGTGGTTATGGGGACTGAAACATAAAGTAATAATCGTCCTCAGGTACTTGACACGCACCCACTCGGCCCTCATCCCGGACTCCTTCTGGATCCCTGGAGGAGTAAAAGCCCCGGGAGGTAACCCCATTCTCCAGCAAGCGTTATTTGAGCACCTACTATGTGTCAGGCCCTGGACGAAGAAGTTAGTGGGGGTTTCTCCCTGGTGGGAGATACAAAGGTCTGCTGAAGGAGGGTGAAGGGGGGCCAGCTGTTGAGCACTGAGACCTCTTCTTCGAGGGTCCCCATCTGCCCCACCAGTTAAACAGGGCTGTGGATGGCTCCCAGAGCTTGGTAGCCAGAGTCCTTGGAGCTCCTGAGACGAAACAAAGGACAGAATGGCAGCCCAACGCACCTGCAGAAAAACCTCCCCATGGTGTTGAGTGTTTTTTTTCAAACCGGAGATTGCAGAATGGCGCCATGGGCCAGGTCCAGCCTGCAGATGTGTTTTGTTTGGCCTGCTTCGCACTTCACATTTTTAAAAACATTGTCCACATTTAAAATCAGAAGATTCGGGGTAAAACCCAGATTTCTGCTTCTAATTAAAAAGAAATCAGAAGATTGGACACACGGGACCTAAAATCCCACCTGCGGACAAGAGGCGAGAACCAAGTCAACGGGGACCCTTGACCCCAAGTCAACGGAGTTGAATTTGGCTCTCTGTTCTTTCAAAAAACCCTGTCTTTGTTTAATGACACACATTTATTTTTCTCCTCTTGGGCTTTTATTTATTCCTCTTCCATCTTGTTTCTAAAATAAAGCCACGGATTCTTCTAAAGTTGTACACCGACGATAAAATTCCGCAGCAAGACATTTTTAACGTCCCCATCAGCACAGGTCGGAACAGATGGTGTACCCTGCTCCTGTGGGCTTGGCATGTGGGGGAGTTGCTGAGAGAATACGTGATGAACCGTGTGTGTTAGTGTCTTGTGGCTGTTATATCACAGTACCATGAACTTGGTGGCTTAAGACAACGCAACTCACCTTACGTGATCTGGAGATAAGAAATCCAAAATGGATTTCACTTGGCTAAAATCAGGTGTTGCCAGAGTTACACTCCTTTGGGAGGCTCCAGGAGAGAATCCATTTCCTTGCCTTTTCTAGCTACTAAAAGCCACCCGTTCTCTTGGGTCATGGTCCCTTTCTCCATCTTCAAACCCAGCAGGAGTAGCATCTTCTCTCTCTCTCTGACCCTTCTGCCTCCCTCTTAAAAGAACGCTTATCATTACCTTGGGCCCACCAGCTGATCCAGGATAATCTTCCCATCTGAAGATTCTTAACTGCAAAGTCCCTTTTGCCATGTAAGGTAACGTATTTATAGGTTCCAGGGATCGAGACGTGGGCATCTTTGGGAGGGAGGGTATTATCCTTCCTGCCACACTATGAATTCAACATTCTTTCACTTCAGCCTGGCTTTGGCCTTGGGGTTGCAGGCGATCACGAGTGATTCTGCACTCTTCCAGGTATTTATTGAACAGTTGCCATGTGCCAAGACCTGTGTTAAGTATGAGACATACCGCATTGAACAAAACAGACTAATACCAGGGCACTCCCTTGGAGTGAGACAGGTCCTCAGATTTGACCCCTCAAGCCCATGCCATTAACCCTACTTTAGCATCCCTGTTTGAAAGACCCACGTGCACCTGTCCCCACTTCCTGCCCTGTGTGTGGATAGTGTGGACAGCTTTAACCCATCCATCTTGGGGCCGTTTTCTTCTACCTGGTGGATTCTAAGGCTGGCTTCTGCAGGTACTTGGAGATGGGAAGTCCTCTCTCTCAGTGCCACTGGTTCTTGCTCACCCAGGCTCAGAACAGGGAGGTCGAGGCCACTTTGAAAGTCAACCAGAAAGTCGTGCTGCACTTAAAGGGTCTGCACCGTGACCAATCTCAGCGTGGGGAAATCTGGCACAGCCTGGCCCTGGACGCAGCTCACGCCTCCCAGGTACCTGTCCCCAGGTTGGGCGAACACTGGTTTGCAGCCTCTGAGTGGACCTCAGCTGTTGGAGAGAGTAAGTGGTACTGTTTCTTTCCAGCTGAGGCTCCCCCAGGCCCTGCGTTTGGATGGGGACGTCGTCTTCAGACGGGGTCCCCGGGGAGCATTTGACTGCAGCCTGGACACAAGGGCCACCATCAACCACAACGTCACATCCCAGGTCAGATGGCTCAGCTCCGCCTCCTCGCTGAGGGAGGGGAGGTGTTCAGGTCAGAGGGCTGGTGTCTCTGTGCGGTGGCTGAAGAGGGGGCGGGGTGGCCTTGGCAGTGAGCGTGGGATGACTCAGGATGCATTGGCTGTTGTAATAAAAGCCTGCTTGCCTGTGAAGGTTTACTGCCCAGTCCTGTCACAGTGCAGTGCGGTTCTGTGGCTTTGCTGCCATTTGTACAGGGGGACGGGGACAGTGGAAATCATGCAGGAGGTTTTCTTGGGCCGGCCCCTTAAGGGGGGGGCAGGCCACTCCTGCTCACATTCCATTGGCCAGAACTCATTACATGACCCTACCCAGCTGCAAGGGGGGCTGGGAAATGTAGTCTTAGCAGTGTGTCCAGGAGGGAAAGAAAATGCAGCTTGGTGACCATATATAGTAGAGCTGCTATAGGTATATATTTGCTCGTTCCATACACGGATTGTGTCTCTGCCACATGCCGGGCTCTGCACTATGTACTCGGGTTACCTGGGCGACGGTTTCTCTGTCTCCATCTCCAGGGAGCTTTCAAGTCCAAATCTTAGCTCCACTGCTGATTGACTGTGCGACCTTGGGTAAATTATTCAACCCCACTGAATATCGGTTTTCTTGCTGTGAAATGGGGATAGTGATACCAGCCTGTGAGAGCTGGGGTGGGGATTAAATGAGGTGACAGTTATAAAGCTAGTAGTCGAGTGTCCGCTTCATGGTCAGGGTCAAATAGAATGCAGCCGTGAACATGGGAGACAGGAGCAGACGCCGTGGCAGGGGACACAGGGGCACCGAGGTCCCAGAGTTATCTTCCCAGCTCCATGTCTGGGGCCTCACTTCTCACGCTTCCAAGTAACGCAGCCTGAGTAAGATTGGGGCTAAGAAGCATCACAGAAGGCGGTTTCTGGCATGTGCTCTTGGCTTGGGCTGTGGGCATACTCTGGGATGACCTGTTGCTCTTCGAGTGCCCAGCCAGCTACCTTCTGGAGTTCTGCATCTCCCTCCTCTGCTCCCTCTGACCCTCCTCCTCCACCCCCCACCCTGTCAACAGGTCTCGGTCCAGCTGAACAGATCTGACTCCCACTTGGCATTCCTCCTCCAGCTCAGACATCCCCACAGACCAACATTTCCTCCAGACTTACAGGTACAGACGTGGTCCCTCTGGGATGACCTCAAGTTGCCTGCCAAGTGCTGTCTCCGAGCGGAGCAGACAACTTGCTGGGAGATGGGGCGGAAGGAAGGGAGGATGGAGGCCCGGGTGTGGAGTAGGGGAGGCCACACCAGGATGTTGGGCTTAGCCAGACAGCCAGCCCAAGAATCAAGAACAGATGGCAGGGAGGTTTCCAAATCCATCATTTGGAAGTGATTGTCCAGGCCAGAAGGGGTTTGAGCTCCCTGGATAGGGGGGAGGGGATAGAAGGATCACAGTTCACCCTTGAAAACGGAGAGAGGCAGAATTGTCCTCTCAACCCTCTTCTGTATTTGGGAGAAGCCGTCTGATCCTTTTTTGACCTCGGAGTGTTTTGCCCAGTGTGGGGTGGAAACACTGAAGGGTTTAACTCTACAAGGAAATAAAGGGCAGGAAAGGAGGGCCAGGCAGGAGGGCTGTGCTCTGCTGCCCCAGCGCTGGGTGCTTAGAAAACCCCACATGTTAGCTGCTTCACCGAACAAGCCTCGTGTGCTGTACACAGGAATTAGCGGACTGGGGACTTGGAGGCATAGACGGGTAGTCCCACCTGGGATGAGGCCCAGAACTTGACAGCAATTTTTAAATGCCTGCCATGTGCTCAGCCATGTGCTGGTGGCTTCGGGAACTCTAAAGGAGCCTGAGAAGAGCTTTCGATTATGGAAACTGGTCCTCCTCAGAGGCACCTGTTTTCACCGGTCAACAGCTCTGAAATCAGGATGTGTCTTCAAATTCCCACCGGTTCGTTGTTTTGTTACCAGCTTTTTCACTTTCATGGCGGGGGCGGGGGGTGTCCATAAAATCACGGTGCATCTCAGGGCCCCTGGCATCCCAGATCTGAGGGTGTGCCATCACTCTAATCGATGGTGTTAGGAGCTGATGCCTCTGGAGTGTTGACCACGTGCCAGGCTCTGTTCGCAACACTTTACGTGGCTCATCTCGTGGATGCCCCATGACACTGCTCTGGTAGCATTCTGCAGATGAGAATCTGACACAGAGAGTGGTGACATGACTTGTACATAGTTACTGAGCGTGTAGGTGGAGGATCCCGGATGGGAGCCTGATGCCCCTGGCTGTGCTCATCACAGGGCAGATGTACTGAAAACCTGGATGCTGGGTCATCTCAAGGGCTCAGACTTTATCATCACTTTTTTAAAAAAAGATTTTGTTTATATATTTGTTTTAGAGAGAGCGAGCGCACAAGCAGGGGGAGGGGCAGAGGCAGAGGGAGAAGCAGGCTTCCCGCTGAGCAGGGAGCCCCAAGCAGGACTCCATCCCAGGAGCCCGGGATCATGACTTGAGCTGAAGGCAGATGCTTCACGGACTGAGCCACCCAGATGCCCCTATCATTACTTTTTAAAACAGCAGGACCCTTTGTTCACCTTAGCTCTGTGGGTGAAGTGGGGCTGGGGAGCTCAGCCTTGTCAGCCTCTGCCCCCCGTCTTGTAGCCCCCCGCGAAGCATCCGCTGCTGGAGCCACAGGCAGCAAGCTTTGATACTGTAGCAACTCGCCTGGCAACTATGTGTAGTCCTTCCCCTCCTCGCACGGCCAGCGCTCCAAGGAGATCAAGGCCTGTTATCCGGGCATTCTTTGTTATCAAGGAGGTGCACCCGGTTGGCTGCCCCTAGAGCCGCTGACCTTGAACGCCGAACATGTTTTTTCTACATATCCTGCCTGATGGGAATATAGAGGGAGCACAGCATCTGTACATTCCCAGGGAGAGGGGAAAGCACCTGTGGGAACGGATGCGTGTTGTCTCCCTAGCCAGATACCAGTGGTCATGAGTACGGTGTGATCGCATCGTTGTGTGGGTATCTACCCGATGTCATGACCTATAGCATTTGTGGTCCTGTTGTCTGCGCAATGGGGCCACTTGCATAATTTGTACCTAGAACCGTACCAGGCCATCCCAAATAGTATAACCCATTGGCAGAGTCTTATTTATCTGCTCCTGTATCAGTTGGAAAACTTTCTTCTTTGTGTCTTCCCAGGAGGGGGAGCCCATACACCCTGGGAACACGTGTCAGGCCAGAGATGGGCAAAGAGGGGTTTTCCTAAGCGTAGAGGCGTTTCCAAGGGCTGAGATTGGCAGTTTGGATTCACCAGGCAAGGCCCGCAGTTGCTGATTGCGGGGGTTCACGACCCACCCAGCAGGCGGTCTTATTCTGTATAGGAGCCAAGGTTTGCCCAATCAGCGAACAGGTTCCCCTGCACAATCTAAGGGGGAGAAGTACGCTGTTGAGTAGGCACCAGAAAAGGCAAGTCATGATTGTCTAACTGAACGCGTGAGATGCCACCACCCCTGGCTGAGGTTATGTTTGCCAACACAACTCGTCCCCGCTCTGGTACGCAGTGGGGTGAACCTCTGTCTAACGATGCCTCATGAGGCAATTAGGATAGCGTCCCTTTTTATATGAGGCCCGGGTTGTGTGCCTCCATTGTTTTTGGTGGAATGGGGTGGAGAAATGGGTGGTGGATAGGTCTCCTTCTGTCCCTTCTCCCATGGGACCCAAACTCCAAACCACGGTGGACTTGTCTGCCATTTCCAGGGTCATTTAATTATATCTCCCCGTGGAGGTAGATCTTGTGTCGGGGGCATTAAAGGTTACCTTGTGTCCCCACCTGCAGCAGAGAACATCCTTCCTGCATGCTGTGTCTGCTTGTATTCTAAGTCAGGTCCGTGAGTGAGGAGGGTATAGGCCCTGGGACGGTTGAAATGTACGTGGTCATTTAATGTCCACAGAGCTGTTGACCGGTGGCTTGTCCAAAGGGCCGGTGGATGGGTTTGTCATCACATCTGTTGCCACAGTGCATCCGTGCCCTGCACCAGTCCAGCTGCAGCGGGAGGGGATGGTACGGGGAAATGCCAGTGGGTGTCTTGAGCTTCGGCTCCCTCCTGCACTTCACGTCCTGCAAAGCGGGGGCCTTGGTGGCTGTCAGTGGGCGCCCCGCGAGCTGCGCACAGCTGTTCTAGGCCACCGATGGTGGCCTCACTGGGTAGCATGCTTACTGGGGCGAGCTTGCAGGCGTCCTGCATCAGTGTCCACACGCATCCGAGCAGAACGGCAGCCTCCAGAGAGAGGCAAGGGACCCATGCAGTCGACCTGCCCCCTTGCTACCTGTCCAGTGTCTCTTGGCAAAGGTCACGGTCATTCCCAGCACAGGTTGGGCGTTGTTGGCAGGTGGTTGTGATGTCTTTGTAACACAGTGGTAGACCCCCAGTTCTTAGCAGTGGCCCACCAGGACTGTTGTTCTGGATGTCTCATCTTCTCAGCGAGCCAGGTGGCGATGTCTTCTGTTGGCACATCTTCCAGGAGGTGGACGCAGGCCAACTCATTACCCTGTTGATTTCCGGCTGGGGTGTGTGCTGTGTGTGCATCTACGTGGTAAACGGTGATGTTTGTACCTCTTAGGCATCAGAGTATGTCCTTCCATATGTCGTTGCCCCAGAGTGCGTGCCCGGTCCCCGTGCCATCCTGTGCCTCCTGCTGGAGCAGCCACAGGGTCAGTCCTCTGTAGGCTGCCCCGCTCTCAGCTGTCTGTGCACAGAACAGTGGGGTCAGGGGGCACCTGGCTGGCCCAGTCGGTAGAGCACATGACTCTTGATCTCTCAGGGTTGTAAGTTCGAGCCCCACGTTGGGTGTAGAGATTACTTAAAAATAAAATTGTTAAAGGGGATCCTGGGTGGCTCAACTTCTGCCTTCGACTCAGGTCACAGTCCCAGGGTCATGGGATCAAGTCCCATGTTGGGCTCCCTGCTCAGTGGGGAGTCTGCTTCTCCCTCTGCCCCTCCCCCCACCCATGTTCTTTCTCTTACTCTCTCGCTCTCTCGCAAATAAATAAATAAAACCTTTAAGAAAAATGAAATCATTAAAAAAAAAAAAAAAAGGATCAGCAGGAACAGGCTCACAGAGCCGTACCATCCATGCTGCTTGAGGCTCGGCCCATTGACTACTGTGGTCCCTGCTGGAGCCTCTCTGTGGAGGGTTGGACCCATCAGGGTACCGCACATGCTCAGGGATTGGTCCGTCTCCTTCCGGCCCAGAGGACGGCACCGGCCGGGGCTCTGCTGCCTCCGTTAATGGCTGTCCTTCAGGATGACCTAAGTCACCGGGCGGCGAGTGGAGTGTTCTTCCGCACTAGGGGCTGTCTGTCAAGGTACCGCGTTGTTGCAAGTAGGCATGGTCTGGGCACTGTCTGACTCGGGCTTTTGGAGTGTGTCCCTTAGCCCATATAGGATGCAGAGTGGGAACGGTCCCTGGGATCCGCTTAGCCGCGTCTTCTCCTGCTGTGGGGCATGCTGTTCTAAAAGGCTGCACTGCAACTCAGCTCCTTTCCATAACCACGACCAGAAACCTGGTGGTACTCATCGGTGCCGTTGCTATCCTGTGACATGGTGTGACACTACGCAGATGGCCCTGGGGAACCACTTGGAAGGTTTATCCTTGTCCCTCCTACATGAAGGCAAATTGATCTTTGTTCCCAGAAACTCCTACTTGTCAAAGGCCTTCCGATGAATTTCCTGGAAAACGAGCACTTTTGCAGGAACGCTTTTTGCCAAAGCATCAAAGTAAAACAGTAACTCTGCCAACTACCAAAGACTCAAAAAAAAGGGCCGTGGTTAAAAATCTAATGAGAGCTTCTTATCAGCCCGGTAAAGGTGAAACGTAGAAACGTTGTTTTTCTGGGCAGATTAAAAAAAAATTTGTTGACTTTTTTTTTTAATCAATAGCAGACCAAATATCCAAGAAAACTTTGTCTTTTTAACAGAGGGATAAATCAAATTCTAATGTTACACTGGTGCACTTTTCAAACGTACTCCTTCTATCTTAGCCCTAACCACACATAAAATTCTTTCCTGAAGATTCTCCTTCCCGAAACTTCTACAACTTTCTTTTTTCATCTAGATTTTGTCCTAAGCTTCCCTCTCTCTAAACAACCAGTGTCATTTCAGGAAAAAATTGTTTTCTTTTCCCTTAACCAAAATGTATTCTCATTCTGAAACCTTTCTTACTCATCTCCTGCCTTTCCTACAGACAGAGTGTGGCTTTCCTTATTATTTCCAGCAGTCTGTATTTTAAAGAGCCTCCCCCCTCTCTTTTTTCTTCAGTCTCTGCAGGCGATGTTTTGGTTATTTCCTGGGGTGTTCATATTATAAAGACATGACAAGATTTACAACTTTAAGGGACAGAGAAAGGATGCTAGTTTTTCTCCTAAGAGTTAGGAGGATAATTGCTATTTAACATTTTTCTTTGTAGTAGGGGTTAGAAAATATGGAAAATTTTGTCTGTTTCCTCATCAGTTATCACTGGATTGATTGGCTGATTTATCGCTTTTTAGAGATTCTACCTCTTAGTGTCCTAATCAGGCTTTATTACAAGTTCCTGGATCTTTTTTTTTCTTTTCCAAGTTTGTATTTAAATTTCAGTTAAAATTCAGTGTAATGTTAGTTTCAGGTGTACAACATAGTGATTTAATAATTCCACATAACCCAGGGCTCATCACAAGTGCGCTCCTTAATCCCCATCACCTGTCCCCCCCCCGCCCCCTCCCTCTGGTGACCATCAGTGTGTTCTCTAGAGTTAAGAGTCTGTTTCTTGGTTTGTCTCTCTTTTTAACCCCCCTAAGTTCATGTGTTTTGTTTCTTAAATTCCACATATGAGTGAAATCATATGGTATTTGCCTTTCTCTGATTGACTTGTTTTGCTTAGCCTAATCCTCTGGAGCTCCATCCATGTCATTGCAAATGACAAGATTTCATTCTTTTTGATGCATGAGTCATATTCCATTGTGTATCCACATCTTCTTTATCCAGTCATCAGTTGATGGACATTTGGGCTCTTTCCATAATTTGGCTGTTGTAGATAATGCTGTTATAAACATTGGGGTGCATGTGTCCCTTCGAATTAGTATTTTTTTTAAAGATTTATTTATTTATTTGCAAGAGAGAGAGAGCACGAGCACAAGCAGGGGGAGCAGCCGGCAGAGAGAGAAGCAGACTCCCCATTGAGCAAGGAGCTCGACGCAGGGCTCGATCCCAGGACCCTGGGATCATGATCTGAGCCGAAGGTGGACGCTTCACCAACTGAGCCACTCAGGCATCCCCAAATTAGTATTTTTGTATCTTTTGGGTAAATATCTAGTAGTCAAGTGCCTGGATCTTAATCAGTGGCATCCTGTGCCCTTCTGGCTTTGCAAAACGGTGCGTTGAGGTCTCTAACTTACTATCATGCTCTCGTTTCCCTTCCCTGCACAGCATGCACTTTCTCCAACAAGTGCATTAGACTTGCTGGCATTTTCGGGGCATCCCGTACTCATGCAGTGGTCCACAAGCATCTGACCTATGGGCCACTCCCCCACACACAGAGGTCCCTGGCCAAGTTGGCATTTCCCCCACAGATTTCCCTTTTCCCCTTTCCAACACCTCCGCACTCATGGGGTTTTCTCCAGCTTCCTGGCTAGCTCACCAGTTATGCAGCTGATCCCTGGCAGACTCTAAGCCAAGGGTGGGTGATGGCCCAGTCAGACTGAAGAAATGACCTGGAGACAGCAATCAAAACAGAGGTTTCTTGGGGGCACTTACATACAGGGAGGCCAGGAGCAGCAGACTGGAGAAAACATCCGTTGC